GTCCAGTTGCAGACACCACTCTCAGTCCCTCAGATATATTTTGGCTACAGAAAATCTATAACCCATGCCCTGCTGGTGTTCAGAGCCCAATAAAGAGCACAGGAGCCTTTGCTCCCAGGCTGCCTTAGCAGCAGAGCAGGGAAGGTTCATGCTGGGCTTGCTGTGCTCTCTGCAGAAAGCAGCTGGTGTCAGGGCAGCAGGCATCCAGCCTGGTCTGGAGCTGCCTTTCTGCTGACTAAAGCTGCTCAGATGGCCTTCGGGCTGCTTTGACTTGCCAAAATCCCAGGGACAGACACTAGTCTGGAGCTGCAGGGTAACTCGGGTACCACCTGGTGCTGTCAGTGGCATCAGCCCCCGGTGCAGCCGGCACTGGCAGCACCAAGCACAGGACTGCCTCCTCCAGTGCCGCGATGGGAGGCCAGGACTTTGGGAAGAGATGGGGTTGAGAACTGGGGAGGAGCCAGCACACAGCATCAGGTGCCCGCTGCCTGGGAAGGGTCAGCAGCATTTCCAGAGGGCTACCAAAATGATCCTAGAAGTAGGCCTGATGATGATCAGATGTCTGATACAAGATTTGTTCTCCACTCCTTATGCTTTTGATTTCTTGCCCAGCATAACGCAGGACTCAAACACTGCTTTTACCTGTGCCCTTCCTGCTTCCCCCTTACAGGGCATGTAAACATCTAGTTTTTCAGTGAAGTCAGGCAGTTGCCAAAAGTAGCAATTTCCAGTTGTACTTTTCACCCAGTGTATCTTAATTGCTAAAGAAAACAGGCTCTTACAGCTTGTTTTATTCATACCATCTATTAATTTGTTCTTAATCACTAGCCCCCTGCTGAGTCACATCTCCTTAGTGCCACAGCTATTACTCTAGCAGGGAGATTAGATCATTTATGCCTGTGTGAACTCACTAGGACACTCAGGGGTGGTTTCCCCACAAGTTTGCACACTTGCATGACTGATTAGGCTTCAGATGAGAGCAGCACCCAGCAGTGTCTCAGGAGCAGGTCAGGGCATGCTGCTACCAGATCCTCTTGTGGAACTTAGACTGATATGTGGTGTTAGTACGTAGAGAAAAAGCTCTCTGGTCTCATCCCTGACCGTGCTGTGCTCTAGATACTTGCTGATGTTTCAAGAAGCCACTTTCAAGGCCAGGTGCAGTGCACAGCCCAACACTCCCCACTCATTATGGCCTGCAAGCCCCAGGGGGAAACTCAAATGGACATTTCTGTTGAAATTACCCCATTTTTCATGGCCTGTATACATATTTAACAAGCTTCCAAATGCAGGCAACCACATTCCCTTCCCTACAGGATTTTCCAGCATCAACATCTCCTGTAGGCTGGCCAGAGATATCAGATCATTGATCTAAAGGTTCCTTCTGTTATGGCACTCGCAGGAACATACTGATGAAGATGGTTTTAGATAAGAGCAGAGAAGTCACTGGCAGGAACAGGGAAATTCATTCATGGCCAGAGCACCAGGGGCCCAGAGCTATACACAGGAGGAGCAGTCTCTCCTTGTTATGGTCAAATAAACAGAAATCAGAGCAGACAGAAAGAAAATAGGCTGTAAAAGTGTCAGACCACTCAGACAAGGAGGTACATCTCTGGCAAAGCATGAAGATTAGCAATGGAAATAGAAATAAGTTAATTGCTTCTTCCAACCTCACAGCAGGTGTTCTGGGAAAGGGAGCTCACAGAATTTGGGAGGACAGAATCCAGACATTGTGCCAGCTTTGCTCCTTCTTTCACATACTAGTCTTCTCAGTCTGAAGTGTCAGAGATACAATGGTAACAAGTCATCAGAAAACACTCTGAGCTACATTTAACCAACAGGCAGGTGATCTAGCACCTTTCCCCAGAGCTCACCAGGAGCAGTGGTAGGGTTCAAGTGAAGTGGCTGTAGCATCATTGCTGTAATTCAACCTAGCTGAGCCTCCTATCCTTTACTTTTTGGCACTTTACAGAGAGAACCATCAGATTAAAAAGCTGTTTTGAAACTAAAAACATTAAAAACTAAGCCAAGGAATGGGTCCCCACCTCACAGCAGAGCAGCACAGAATCAAGTGAAGGGCAAATCATCCCATTTATAGTGTCCTCGGGACAGTATTTCTGCTCCCCTGCAGTGCTGCACGCAGCCTTTTTCCTTCAGCTTAGGAAAACATCCTCCATCAACGACTGGCAAACAGGGGCTGCAGCTCCTTGCTGTTCCCTAACCAGGAGAGCAGCACGTCCTGCTAGCAGCAGGGAGCGCACAGGCTGGATTTTGCTTTTTTAGAGCTGTGCAAAGGAAAACCCTGTAACATCAGAGTGCTGACCGGGGGCATTTAAACAGCCAGCTCCATCCTCCTTCTGGAAAGGACACAGTAAATTTCAGGAAGAGAGAAGCACCCTAAGGCAAATTTCCTAGGACCATTTCTTCCCAGACAGCACATATCACAAGAATGTTTGTCCAGGCTGGTTTGACCCTTCTTAACTGTTCTTGAAGAAAGGTGAAAACCAGGGCATGTTTTGTTCTCCCTGTAATAGCAAGAGGGCCAGTCACTACAAAGCTGATAGAGGAGCTGTAAGAAGGGAAATACCCACTGCAGCTGAAGATCAGTTAGCCCCTTTGCCTGAAGGCAAGTTGCAAGGCATAGAGACACGCATGTCAATGCCTTTCCTCTCAGTGAGTCCTGAAGAAGCCAAAACAAAGATAAAACTGGATTTGCCTCATTCATGCCAACGCATCCTTCCCAGAGGATACCAGACTGTAACTGCAGATCTGGAGAGGTTCCTTCACAAAACCCGGCAAGCAGCACGTCAACCACCAACACAACACCAGAAGGCTATTTTAGTGAGCCTTAGAGCTCCACATGGCATGAGGGCACCACATGCTCCCCCCTGAGCCCTGGAAAATTTCTTTACTTTGTTTTGGCACATAGTTTATCTCATTTCCTACTGGGAGCTTGCAAAGCAGCAACAGGCTGCTCACAGGCTCCTTGCTTTTTGGTTGCTCTTAAAGAAAAGAGACAATAAAGGAGACAATTACCACAATTTTCTTCTGACATCCTCTTTTTTCTAACCTCTACCTGGATATATTGGCCTCAGGGTCTCCTCCTGCCTGCCATACCTCCCTGTATCATGACTGCCACTGCCTTGTATGCCAAATGCTTCTCGAACCAGACTCTCCCCCCTTCCCTTGTCCAGGTCCCAGGTACCACCTTTTCTTGTTTTGAGACTAACCCTCAGGAAAAACAATTCAATGCTTTCCCAGTTTTTATCTTTACACCTCATCCTTCTGAGAAATCCACTGAGCCTGTAGGAGACCCCAGCCCTCCCAGTAAAACCCCCTCCCACATTTCTGCATCTTCCCATCCTCACATGGCAGATCTGGACAGCACCCACCTCACACAAGGTCTGGGACTGGCTGCAGCACTGTGTTTATTCTGTCAGTCCGAGATGTCACCTATAGGGACCCCATAGTTCTTGTCTTGTCCAAGATTATTGTATCATCATCACATGCAATACTCATGCCTACTCATTCCTTTTACACTGACAGCCTGGCAACACATCCACATCCCTAAAGGCCACATAGAGCAGTAACTTTGCCCTTCAAACTTATGAAAAATGTTACTAGTTTGCTGAATTACAAGATAGCTTCATAATGGCTGAATTGGAACATGTTGGTTTTTAAAACACTTTCTTACACAGCATTTAAGCCTCAGTAAGTCCTAATATCCTAATATTAACTTCAAGACGAAGTTTTTTGTTTTTTTTTTTTAAAGACCACATCAACAGCAGTAACTTAAACGTATAAGCAACTCAGGCAGGTAGCTACGCTGAGTCAATGCACTTACTGCTTTGCTCTGTATCACTTTTAACCTTATTAAGAAGCACATCAATATCAGTACAATGAGGATTATGCTATTTTAAAGAGAAAAAGCACCCTGCAAATAAAAAGCTCCCCACACGGACTGAAAACCTCTCTGGAGGGAGCACAAACATTCACTGCCTTCCCACTTACAATTGATTGCCTTTGGAAAGAGGCAAACAAGTCAATAGCAAGAATGATAACAGGAACCAAAGGCATCAGATTAAGAAAAGAGTAAAACAAAAAGAGCAGCAACAAAAAATATCTTCAGAGTGCAAGTTTAAATCCAGGATATTGGTACTTAAACTGTGAAATTATTCAGTCTGCAAACATAACACCCATATATAGATCAACATACACCAGCAATTCCACAGGAGTTCAGTTGATCACATAGGCTTTCATACGGCAGATATGATTACTTAAACCAGAAGAGGAAATACTGCTCAGCTCACATGTTTTCAGCCAGTTTAAGTGACAATGGACATGAACCAAAGACAGACTCAAAGAGCTTGAAGAGTAACAGGCTGAGTCCGCACAGCCCTGAGGAAAGCACCAGTAACATTCCCACCTTCATGCAACTAAGTGGCTTCTGCAGAAATTTGTATTTATATATATATGTGTGTGTGTGCGCGCATTATCTCTGCTGTCATCCTTCGAGGATTAACTGTCATGAAGCATATTTGCTGTATGCAGAGCACACCACAACCTGTGATGCTAACTGTCACATCAGGAGCCCTATGGCCATTCTGCCCCGTGCCCATCAGCTACATGCCCACTGCCTGGCCCAGAGACCAGGCTGCTGGAAACAGAGCAGGGGCTGCAGCACTAACACCATGCCTGCAAGGCAGCTCATCCTCAGACCAAGGAAAGCGTGGGATGGAAGCTACCTGCAGCACACTAGTACATTGAACTAGCTGGGGAGCTCCAAGCCTGCAGGTGCAGGTTTAAGCCCATGCAGCACAGAAGCACATCTCCACCTCCTCTGTCTTACAGAGAGCTGCTGCTGCAAGCTGCCTGGCTCTTCTGTAAGTCTCACATCACAGCCTTAAATCAGGAGGTGACTTGTGCATGTGTTCAAGCTCTGTTACAAGAGGAGAGCATACAGGCTTTATTCCCATCATCTTCTCATTCTCACATGTGCTTACACTTCCCTCTGTGCTTCCTTCTCCAGTCTAGCCCTCCAAACCACATTAAAGCAAATAAAGTAGTCACACTTCTACTACAGCAACTCCATTGCCATCCTCTTAAGCATCTAAAAGAGAGAATGAATAGAAATAAGAACCTGAACTTAAACCCATCCACTTCTGAAACACCTACCTACACTATGCATTAACGTGCTTACTCACCACACAGCTAGGAGCTCTCAGGAGCTACCAGCACCCCACTTAGAAGGAACAGGAGCCTCCTGGGCTGCCTCCTTTGAAGGGCCATCAGCCCTCCTGCAGGTGGTGATCATCAGATTGCGTTAAGATTAGATGGAGCCTAATTACGACCTGCTAACTCTGCTAGACTGATTTGGATCAATCACACTAAAATGATCAGAGCTGCAGGTTACTTTAAACTGAAATTAAGAGGTGGAATTAGCATTTCAATCACGTAGGGAACTCCTCCCAAACCCAGGGATTTAGGCATACCATCCATACCTTACTTGCTTCATTTGCAGCGTTATTGCAGAGCATGTCAGTCCCATTGCCTACCATGCCATCTATCTCAGGAACCACACAAATCCCTTCTGTTAAAAACACATCACATTTACTAATATACTACTGTGATTATGTTACTACTACTGTCTAAACTTGCACTTCATTAGTAGCCAAAACACAGCGTTTAGCAAAGAAGTTGCACTTTCTATTCCACGTGTGCAGAGACCTAATGCTCTCCCTTATCTGTGTGCCATGTTTCCTACACGGGCAGTTTGTTGCATCCCTACAGCATGATTTATTTATGTCATGCAAACTCCTCAAGCCTAACATTTTCTACCTTGTGTAGCTACTAAAGGAAAATATTTCAACAAATGCAACACCACCCAGAGGAGCTGATTGTGGGGAGGGGAGGGCTGGTGGAAGGGAATCAAAAGATGATTTTGCTGGTCAGTTTTGGTGATTAAAGTGGCTGGCTGTAGGGGAAATCATCCCTAATGCACAGACCCTCGGTCCTGAGGGCATCTGCAGGAAGCATTTGCAGCTTGTGCACAAACCCTCTTCTAAATGTAGGGTTCTTCAGCAAATTGTTTTTAAAAGAGAATTAGAAAGATTAATTTAGGAACAAAGGGACATGTTCTAATTGCTGTTAGATACTTCAAGGCATGTTTCATGGGACTATTAATAAAGTGCCCCAAGGGAATGAAGAAACCAACACATCACATTCAAGACAAGAATTAATGACCCCATAAAATACTCCCTGGTGTACCCTAAAGCTAAACTGAGAATATTTATAAATTAAAAATTAACATTTCCAAGCCTCCTACTGGCAGCAGCTGTATTGCTGAAGAAGACATAAGTGACAGCTTTAAAACAACAGAACGAAACAAAACCAAACAAGAAAACAACACAGTAGCAGCACTCGCAATATACTTTCTTTTTTTATCAATTCCTGCTCCTGATAAATGACAGATGTAAGTTGGTATTACCATGCTAGCAGCAAACTTGTTATTTCTGAACTTGTTCACAAGATGCAGTATAATAGATTGCTGATATTGATGTTACGTTGACAACGCTTTGACCTTGCAAAATTTCACAGAAGAAAAATGCATAGGCCATGGACTGAGCTGCAATTTTTTTTAATGACAGGCCGGTGAAGATTGAAGGAGCAGCTCCCAACCATGTATCAATCACTATTTTTCACCTCCTTCGAAACCGAGAAAAAAAGTTTGATAAATGACAGTATTTTAAAATTTACCCAATCAAAGTGTGTTTTGGTCTAAAACTCTAACATCAAAACTTCACATTTGCACACTTTGGTTTGACAAGGAAAATCATACGTTTTGCGGAATTTACTTCACCGAAATGAGATTCATTGAAGTCCGCAGATGAGAACTCAAGAGTCATGGCTTGCTCGTAATAAAGGCTGGCCAGGGAGCAATTTTATTTCACGAAGGGCGTTGACATGGTAGGCATTGGTGAACGCTGATCTGCATAGCAGCAGCGGGAGCCGCGGGCTGCTTGGGCCCTCCCCTATTGCTGGCCGGGGTGGGATGCCCAGCAGAGCGCTGTGCCGGCACAGCTGGCATCTTTCAGCCTGGTCCTAGGTTGTGCCACCATTCACGCAAAGTCAAACATTTTCTCGGAGAAGTGCTGTATTTTGCCATGGCACTTGGCAGGCCGCTCCCTTTACCCACAGCCACAGGCGTTACCTGGCCGCTCGGTGTCAGGAGAGCTGCTGGCTCCTCCAGAGGAGCTGCACCTTTCCTCTCTCATTCCAGACTGAGAAAAAAAAATCTGCTCAAGTCTAGTTAATATAAAATAATAGAACAGAGGTACCATAAATCAAATTTTCAAGGTAAATGACTTAAAAATATATATTATTCACATTAAAAATACAAGCATTCCCAAGGGGAAAAACAAACAAACAAAACCCACAAAGCCACACTGGATTAATGTGCAAATAGCCAATATATGAAGAAGCAAACACCAGTGAGACCTCACCAGCACGTGTGCTCCTCTGAGGGTTCTGCAGTGTCCAGTATCAAATGCACTGCTGCAATACCTTCACCAACATCTGGGAGGAAAAAGCACTTCATGTGACAAAATCATTTGTGGAACGGGCATTACCTGCAGGAGAAAAAAACAGCCAAAACAAGGTGGGGAGGCTGGGCCTGTGCAAACACCACACTGCCAGGGCAGCAGAGCGAGCTGGTGCAGCCTGGAAGCGCCTGCACGCCAGGGAGAGCCTGCCCTGGGGACAGCTCTGCATTGCCTCGGGATTTAGTTTGGGTAATGCAATGCATTAAGGACAAAAAAAGGAAATATTTTTCTTTAACATAGTTTTTGTCACTTTTTCAGGTCTTTCTCTGTTTTCACTCCTTTCATTCTGACATTGTTTTACAAATTATCGTTGCAAGCAGGAACAAAACACGCAGCCAAACCACGACACTGGCCCAAGGAAGGTTGCTGGCAGACCAGCTGCACGGATTGCTCTCTGTTCCCCTGTCCCCGTTCTCTGCACCCCAAACTGATCCACTGGGTTCGTGACTCATTGCAGCAGCAGTGGGAAAAGCCCCTTCAGTTCTCCTCCAAGCTGATATGACTGCAGTTGCAAATTATTGTCTGTTTATACTGCAACACCATCTGCAAAGCCCCTTTTTGGTATAAATTATATGTTGAGTACAGAGCCTGGACCACAGCTATCAAAACCTCATCAAGAGTGCTGCTTACGCCAACAAACAATCCCGCAGCAGCTCCGTTTCCCGAGCAGCTTTGGCAGCGGGGATGGGCCAGCAACACAAATAGATGCTGCCCACAGTGTGGTTTTACTGCTCGGTGTTTTCTCTTTCTGGGAAGGCTGCTGTGCCGTGCCTGAGACCTGGCAGCACGCAGCAAGCAGGGGGAGACCAGGGGAGAGCGGAGGGGAAGGGGCGGAGGAGATCTCAGTGCCAGCACCCACATCTCATGCAGCCCTCGGGCAGCAGCACCCCAGGCACACGTTTAATTTGCTTCTGTAGATAAAGTAGGGGACAAAGGTCAGCAAAACAGAAAAATTGATTTCCAGGCACATCTCTACACGTTTTCCTACTTTAAAAACTATGTTGGTGATCAAAAGAATACATATTAGGCTTTAGAGTGTCAATTTCCCTTGAACACCTTAAAAGGGTTTTGCAGACTTCTCTTGCCAGGAGCTGGAGCAGTTTCCCAGTCTGAGTGCTGTCCTGCACTGAAGGGAGAGAGTTTGTCCCCTGGCAACACCAGGCCTGGCTACGCTCAGCTCAGTGGGCAGGAGGTGGCTCCCCAAAGCTGTTCATGTTGAAACTGGACAGACAGCAGGCAGGCTGAAATCGCTGTTGGTTCTGGGAGAGACAATCATGGAAATTAGTAAATATAGGAGATCTATGTGGGAATAACCAGTAATGCACAAGGTACAAATATGTTGGAAAAGGTATGTTTTAATTTTCTTGCTCAGTAAGAATGTTTGTTTGTGCTGGATTTCCAAAGAAACCACTGCATTTTAAAAAAGAAAAGCCTAGCGAGGTGTTCGGTGCCAACCAGGAAATCAGGACACCCTCATTCTTCACTTCTCCATCCCACTCCAGCTTCTCATGGCACAGGGCTTTACCTGGGGGGTTCTGTGGGGCAGTCAGCACATCCTTCCCCTCTGCAGTGGTGGGACCTGAGTGATGGGGTGTCCCAAGTCCCTGCATGAAGCCCTCCTGGGCCCCGCCAGCCCCAGCACCCCACATTTCCAGCCAAGCTAAGGAGCTGGGCTTGGGGCAGACCAAGGGGGATTTCCGTCTCTGATTCTCTCTGCAGACACAGCTGAAACTTAGGCACTCAGGCTGGAAATGACAAATTAGGCACTGAATTTGCCTGGGATCTTGAGCTTCTCAACAGCTCGTGCATGGAGCTGTGGGCGAGCGGGAGATGCCAGGCACAGCCCACATCTCTCACACGTTTTCTCACAAACAAACCTCCTGGGTAAACAAAATGGTCAATAGGATATAAATCTAATTATAATACAAGTGAGCGTCTGAGCCTTTGCCTGAAAAACAAAGCCTTTGAATTTTCTTCTTTCAAGGGATCACGAAGGAAATCAGGCACATTTTTAGTTAGAGCAGGAAATGCAGGATAAAAACTTGAAAAGCTACCTCCCCATGAAATTGCATTAACTGTCCACGTCTGTTAAGCTTCTAAGTTGCTTAAACCTCTATATCACTGGAATATTCACAATCCTGACTCTGGCACCGATGTACAATTTGGCACAACTGCAACTCACTGGATAGCAGCCTGGAGAAGAGGCTACAGCAAGCAGTTGGGTAATTTATTAAACCTTTATATCGCAAGCACCGGTCACTAAGCCTATTATTGCACAGCACACAAGTGAATTACAATTGTGGTGTAGAAAAGGATTTTCATATTTCAGTGTCTTCTCCATTCTGCTCTTTGGTATTGCTCCCTTACCAATTTTGCTAAAAGGACTTGCACATTTGCCAAGGTACATATTCTATAATATCACCTACTCGCTGCTAAATTACTCACAGCAGTTAGGCAACATCCACTGTACCATATGTTATTGGGATAAAAACAAACACACACACACAGATAACTTGAAAACAAATCTTATGTAAAGAAATATTATTTAAGGAGGAAACTGAGGCTTCTTTTCCTGCACCGTTGCTTCATGCATGGCAGAAGCCCCTGCAGCCTGGGGGCCACTGGTTTTGCAGCAGGCACTTATGGCTGTGGTCAGGCTGTCCCACAGCAGCCACCGCTGCACCCAGCGAGGTGGCACCCCCATGCCTGTCCAGCTGCCTCCTGCACGGCCCCGGGCACCACGGAGCACCCCC